CTGGGGGAGCAGGAGTGAATGTTGGGGCAGGGGTTGTATGTGTTATGGCAGTGGGAGTAGCAGATGGAGCTGGTGTAGTGAATGTTTGCGAAGCAGGGGCAAACGTTTGTGCAGATGTAAAGAACGCTGGGGGAGGAGTAGTAAATGAAGGAGCAGTAGGGATAAAAGGTGGGCCAGATTGAGCAGGTGTTTGGACAGGTGGAGCTGGAGGAGGAGGGCCACTTGGAACACCATGGGCGGCAGCAAAGGTAGTAGGGGCAGGGAAAGAAGGACTATGAGTTGGAGTAGGAAGGGCTGCTTGGGAAGAGCTAGCAACTGCGGAACCACCTGTTTGAACTTCAGAGTGTACAGGAGCTGAGTGAGGTGCTACAGGGACGCCATACAGAGTAGATGGAGGTGGAGCTGGGGCAAGAGGCTGAGAGGCAACAGCTTGCCCACTGACAGGCGGTTGAGCAACAGGTTGTGGAGCTGGAGCAACAGCTTGACCACCAAATGGTGTACCATATTCTGTGCTAGGAGCAGGTGCAGGGGCGACAGGCTGTGGTGTAAAAGCTTGACCACTGCTGGGTTGTGGAGCAGGTGCAGGTGTAGCAGGTTGTGAAGCAACAGCATGGCCGCCCACTGGTGTGCCATATTCTGTGCTGGGCTGTTGCGGCAAAGGCACTGGAGCAATAGGCTGTGAAGCGACAGCATGTCCTGCCAGTGGCGTTCCATAGGTAGTACTAGGAACTGGTGCAGGGGTTACTGGCTGTGATGCAACAGCATGTCCTGCCAGTGGTGTTCCATAGCCTGTACTAGGAGCTGGTGCAGGGGCCACTGGCTGTGATGCAACAGCGTGTCCTGCCAGTGGCGTTCCATAGGTAGTACTAGGAACTGGTGCAGGGGTTACTGGCTGTGATGCAAGCAGTGTCCTGCCAGTGGTGTTCCACCTGTACTAGGAGGTGCAGGGCCACTGGCTGTGATGCAACAGCGTGTCCCAGTGGTGTTCCATAGCCTGTACTAGGAGCTGGTGCAGGACTGGCTGTGATGCAACAGCGTGTCCTCCAGTTGGTGCACTATACTTTGTGCTGGGTCGTTTTGTTGCAGAGGGTGATACAGCAATGAAAGCATGAGTTTCAACTCTTGGTTGTAAGATGACTGGTCTTTTAGAAGGATTGGAGCCAGCATTCACTTGCTTTGGGTCTGAGGCTGTGAAAAAGTTAACATTACCAACTGGGCCAGGTGGAGGCTCATACCCAGAACTGCCACTGATTGATTGGACCGTGCCACCTGTCAGCTTGGAAAGTATCTGGGCAATAGCTTTCCCAAGGGATCCCGACGAAGCCTCATCAGCACTTAAGGGGACTGCACTTGATAAACCAACATCCTCTTCATTGGTAGAAACAGAGTGTGATGAGGCTGGAGTGCCATAGGACTGTGAAGGTATTTGGTTTGGTAGAGATGTAGGTGATGGAGCTGGCTTTGCTGCAGACCCATCTAGAAGGAGAGGATTCTCTGGGACCGGATAAAAGTACCCTTCGAAGCCAGCGCCAGATGCTGATTTTACAGCGCTACCTCCAATTGCTCCTGAGGACCTAACAGCACTGCCACCAACTGCTGCTGAGGACCTAACAGCACTGCCACCAACTGCTGCTGAGGACCTAACAGCACTGCCCCCAGCTGCTGAGGACTTAACAGCACTTGTGTCAATTATCCCAGCGGGAGGCCTGACTGAGATCCTGATTCGTGGCTTAGCATGTCTTGCGAACACTGGGAATCTTCCACCATGTCCTACGAACCCAGGACGGCCGCCATGGGAGCGTGCACGAGGGTTGTTAGAAATGAAGAAAACATTTTCTTCAGATGAGCCTCCATTGTTTCTTAGTGGCTTATCGGGTGCTGCAGCAGTGAGACCTGTGTAAGAAGAAAATTTGAAATTAGGCAATAGTCGTGGAAAGAAAAGAAGATATGCAACAGAGCAAACTGGAAAATTTGCTTTATATAGTTAAGGACTAAACATACGTCAGATGCGAGAAAAATTATGCATTTTGTGGCTTCACTTGGGTAACAGGGCCTCAGGCAGAACTATATATACGGAGTGATGGCCTTGAGGCTTAGAGGACATACCTACCACTTTACACCCTGATTGCTACTCAGCAAAACTGTTTATTTCATAATATTTGTTCACTGCAGTTCACGCAAGGAACTACACACAACCTAGAATATGAGTACGTGCGTGTCTCATCAGAACTGTCACGACTGAAATATCTGCCGGGTAATAACAGTGAAAACACATGCATGCTATTGTTTCCTAGAGATATTGGCAACCACTGAAGCAGAATTTTGTTTTACTTTACAAAGCAGTGATACAGGAATAATCGCAGCCATTTACCAGTTACATGTCAATTTGCAGTTTTGTTGGGACTGTTATTGATTATATATATCATACATTTGCCGCCTGAAATTGCCCTTCTCGGTAGACTAAAGTAATTCGTAGACCCCGTTCTTAACCTTAAGCTTC